CACCTCCACCACTTGTTAGGAAGCGTGTGCAAGGAATTTGCCAGCGTTCTTCTTCAACAAAAACATCTTTCAATGGCACCGAGCACTCAGGCATTTGCAACTCTGATAACTGTCTCAATTCCTGGATGAAATGATCTATTTCACGTCCCGTCTTTTGTAGAGATGCTGTTTAGGAAACACTAGACAACCCACATGTCAAAACTCCTCTTCAGGTTGGCTTGGCATCCAACCCTTCTGTCCCAGTCAAAAAAACCCTCCCCGTGTCCAGTGTTACTAACCCTCCTCAAACAAGTGTGCAAACGACTTGACTTTGTGCAATCCTGTGACAAGTTATGGATGTAGCGGACGCCCAAGATCAGGCTTCCCAAAGCTGAAGTAAATTCCGACAGGAGTGACCACAGTGGTGGTGTGCTGCAAACCAGGAGTTATGCGTACCGGCTGAGTATTCATAGGAAAAGCAACGGCGGATTGCAACACTGATTTGTTCGGTGAAGAAAAGGATGTGTTTCGAGGAGTTTTCATTAAACACATCCTCTTTTACCACCCAAGTGCCAACTAACTCGCTTGACCAGCTTACCCAATACTAATGGATGCAAGTATTTCCAACCAGATGGGAAGAGAGGACAAGGGTAGGTGAAATGATTAGACTCTTATCCAGCATATTTCCCCTGGGATGCGTAGAACGGCTGGCTGACTGCTGAAGGAAGTGCTGCAAGTGGACCTTCATGGACCGAGTTGGCGAAGGAAAGCTGTGAAGATTGAGGAGTCCAGGCAGTTGTTAATATTGGCAAAATGGATGTGCCGTTCTGTTGTGCACCACCTGTCTCCTTTCTCACGCCTCAACTTTGACTGTTAAAGGCAACTGCGTGATCATTCTTCTGCCGGTGGTTGGGTCAGTCATCAAAACGTTGCAGATACATCCACCTCATCTTCAAACTCAACTACCCATGCTGGAGGAGAGAAGGTCATGCGCATGATTGCAGGCAATACGAGAAGACATGGCGTTTCAAAAGCAATGACAACTCAAAGCCTCCGCTGGCTTCACAGCAACAGTATTCAATGCGAAATCCACCTTTTCATCCACTTTCCAGTTTCATGTTGCGCAAGCACGCCAAATGCTCGGCCTCCGCTGACCCTAGACTCCAAAATGAAAAGAGGTGGATCCGTACTTTGTCACAGGGATATCAAGTGATGTCAAGGAGGTCAGGCTCAACCTTATGCACAAATGCGTATAATTGTGGCCACTTGGACATCGTTTCTATAAATTTTGATGATAGAACCTACCACAAAAATATTGGTGTGAGGTTGTAAATGCACTTAAATAGTGCAATTTTGCAATGCAAATTTGGAAGCTGAGGGAATGATTTGAGTCGTGAAAAGCAAAGTGGACGGTAGTGAGCCCAGGCTGGAGTAAACAAATCGAAATTGGTGAGTGTGGCAGGGGCATGTAAAAATGCCACGATGACATGCATCGGTACATGTGGAAGGCTGAAAGACAGCCCACTCTGTCCTACAACTCTTCCTAGTGTACGGCTTTGAATGAGAATTTGCACT